ACGCCCACCAGCACTGGGGAGGCACTATGACATCGTGATTAAAAATACAGTCTTTGATGTCAGGTTATGTGCATGCAAATCCCAGGAAAGCTTCTCCAGGACTATGTGACCTGGGGAAATCATTTCATCTCTCTGAGGCTCACAGATTGTAAGAAAAAGATTATAATAGAAACTATCTAATAGAGTTGCTATGAGTGACAGGTGATATAGATAAAGGCCTTGGCATGGTGGTTGAACCTAGTGAACACTGCATAAATGTTATCTATCATTGTTATCACTGTTCATGGGAGGTAGAAAGAGAGCAAGGTGAGGATGGGCCAGCAATAGTGAGAAGTACAAGCATTCGTTATGTACCTCTGAATGAATACCAAAGTCAAACAGGAGAAGGAAGCACAGATTATTTACTGGTAACTCCATCGGTTAGCTATGACCACAATAATGGTGCATAACAAACAACTCCCAGCGCTGGTGAAAGAGGAGAGGCAGCATTCACCTAGCTACCTGGCTGTGGCCAGCTGGGATTTGGGTGTGCTAGGCTGGGTGCTGCTCTCCACTGGGAGGGGGCCAGGCTCAGGAGGCAGCAGCAACCTCAGGGAAGTGCTTCCCAGCCATAACAGAAACACACAAGGTCCCCCAAGGCTTAAGTACAGTGGACATATTGTCACCTCTACCCCATCTAGTGGCCAATGCTAGTCACATGGCTGAAGCCAAGGGAAGGATCAGGAGCATGAACCTTGCCTGTCTCTTGAGGAAGAAGACAGGTGAAGCCTCCTGGCTAAAGCATCAGTCTGGGGAGGGAAGAATTGCGTTCAGAGATGCATCTACCCACTAACACGCCCCGGCCAGACCTTGGAAAGGGGCCCTGCTGCCCGCCCTGCCACGCTCCTAGCGGCTCTCTCACGTCAGCCCCTGCCTCAGCCACAACCTGGAAGGACCCCGAGCACGACTAGCACTGGCGGTGCGTGGGGACCAAAGACCCACTCAGGCCCCACCTCGGTTCCCATCTTCCCAACATCTGGACCTGCTCCGGGGAGCCATTAATCTCAGGCAATTTCTTTCCTCACTTGATTTGTTTATTTAAGGAAAACAAGTTGCTCCTAATTAGAAACACTGCTGTCGAGATGTTCAGCACATCCAAGGCTGCCTATTTTCAGACCTTCTGCCTAAAATTATACCTGCGCTTTCAACATCTGCGAGTTTGTTCAGCAACAGCCCTACGTGGAGGTTTCTGGCGAGAGAGACCTGGGCTGTTGCCGTGGGAGGCGGGGCTGTGGAGCACACAGGGGTTCAGAGCACTGGCAAGCACGGGCACTTGGAAAGACGAGCACGCGGCACCCCAGTCCTGCTCAGAACTGGCACCGACTGCCGGAGCAACACTCGGAAGGAGCCTGGCACGAGCAGTTCAGACCTAAAGCAGGCAGAAGAGCAGTCCTCTAGGGTGAGGCTGGTTTCTGTTTAAAAGTGCATGGAAGCATTTGAGCACGCACACACAGGCTCTCAGACACAGCCTCTGAGATGTACATGCCTGGGAACCCACACACATACCTGAGGCTCATACAAAGGTCACACCACCACACGCAGAGGCAAACACACTCGGAAACACACCTATGTACACCCAGGGACAAGCAAGAAGATGCAATGCAACACCCAGGAATGCACACTGAACCACTCCTCACAGGTGTGCACAAGTTACCCCACAACACACAGGAACACACATTCAGAGGCACTCACACGCACACAGAGACACAGTCAAATGTACACTGCAACCAACACACCCAGGTACCAACACTCAAACACACACAGACACAGAGAGACATAACCACATGTGCAACCTACATACAGGCGCACACTCAGAGATATGCCTGTACCCAAAGAAACACACAAAGTTTATACCGCAACACACACTCAGAAATATGTTGGGACTCACAGAAACACACATGTGTGCAGAGACACAACTGAATGTACATTGTAACACTCACAGATACACATGCTCAGCAGCTCACACATATACACAGATATGATGAGCAGGTACACACCCACAGACAACTGAGTGTGCAATGCTACATAGAGAGACGCACAGAGGTATACACAGAAATACCCCGAAAAACATGCAGATACCTAGGCCCCTAAGTGCACAGTGCTCACACACGCTCACTTCACTGCACACACATGCAGCACTCACAAACACACACACTGATATGTGTGAGCAGCACATGGAACCACTAAGACGTGCACCCAGGCAGACACGTGCACTTTCTCAAACACAGGCATTTCTACATGGGCCCTTTCAGCATTCACGTGCATCTGTGCGCACACACACACACACACACACACACACACACCTGCTTGCAATACATCCACAAGCACCAAAGCCTCACTATTCGCACTGATACACTTATGTACCCGTTCTCTTGCAGGTGTGCACACATACACATTCACAAATCTACAGACATGCACACACTCATAAATCCATCAGCCATCAAGTACACACTCATATCGACATGATCCATGTGTACACACACACACTTAAGGTTCTTGTGTAAGTCATCCTCTCATAATCATATAGGCACAAACCACATGAGAACGCACACATTCTTACTCATGTACAAACACACACATACATTCCACCAGGAATGCAAGCTGTTAATATCCTCAGAGTCTAAGCCAAGTGCATAGAATAAAGCAGCACACAGTGTATTTGCTCCTGCTCGGCCCCACCACATACCTCCCATGTCCCCTGCAGCCAGTGGGGGTGAGATCTGCCCTTCTACCTAAGCAGGAACTCAGAGCTACTCCCAAGCTCCCAAACCAGCCAGAAAGAAGTGGGAACAGTCTGCTGCGGCACCGCCCCAGTCTCAGCGCCCCCTCCAAGGCTGTACAAGAGCTCTTTCCTTGGTGTGGTTGTTCCTGTCCAGAACAGCAGCCTCCCTGCCTAATGTGGAACAGTCCTCAGCCCCTCAGCAGATGGGATGCTTGACACAGGACAGACGGGACTTCTCTGCTCTAGGTCCCCAGACAGCTACAAAGTTGAAGCCATAGAGGCCGCTTACCACACCACCTCCTGTTGTCATGGCGACACAGCAGCTGGGTGCATCCAGCCCTCCCAGACTGCCCTGGGCTCCCCACTGGGAGCAGCTGGTCCAGCAGTGCTTTTAAGAGGAAGCCGAGACAGGGGGCGGGGACTGCAGGTATCAGGTGACTGGGGAGAACAAGGACCCTGCCCCCTAATCAAGGATCATCTGGTGCTTAGAGTGGGTGAGAACCAGTCTCACCAGGGAAGCAGCACCCAGATGTCCATGCACAAGTTCCCAAACCGGAGAGCCTACTGCTGTGGATGCTGAGCTCCCCGCTCTGCTAGGCACTGGGCACTCCCCTTCTCCATCTCACTCAGGGCTCCCCGTGTCCTTCTGAAGTAGGAGCTGTGACATTTTATGGAGGAGAAATCAAAGCTTGGGAAAAGAGGTGACTGGTCAAACTTAGATCTGATTTCAGACCTGGGTCTCTTCAGTATCTCCTGGGTTTTTGAAAATCTCACATGTGACATTGCCCAGAGGCATATGGTATCTGAAGGGAGACCTTGGAAGATATATGTCATTCCCCCATGGCAGAGAAGCAGCAGCTGGAGCCCAAAGAGGGCCAGTGATTTGCCCAAAGTCACACAGCAAATTGAGGGCAGATGTGAAGCTCATTCTCCTGACCCAGAGCTGGGGCTCTTCCCGAGACATCAAGCACGAGGCCATGACATCTTGGCGGAATTCCTGGGTTTTGGCAGCTAGGAAAGCAGCTTTTAACCTGACCCCAGATCAGAATCCCAAGCAAGGAGAGGAGGTCCTCTGGATCCCATCTCAGGTCCCAAGAACCATCCAAGAAGCACACAGTAATGTTACTCCCTGAGGCAGGCACCTGACCCTCCAGTCGTGACCAGAAGCACACCAGTCTCTGCCTCGCAGCTACATCAAGTCCCAACCAGCAGGACATCAATCTGACCCCAGCCTTCAGCTGCAGTCCCAGCAAGGAAGCCTGCATGAGCTCAGGCCACAGAGGTAGCTCCAAACTCGCCCTTGGTGGCCTTGCCGGAGCACACTTTTCCCAGGGAGGACAAATAATCTGGCTAAACTTGTGAGCTATATGTGGGATGCCGCAGAGCCTCAAGGGGCCTGAAGTGTGGGGGGACCACCCACATCCCGAGAGCTGGGGACAACTGTGCCAGGACACCCTGTCCACTTGTCCCTTCTACAAAAAGTTTGCACCTCCCCAGGCGCCAGTTTGAGTGGTCTCATTGAGTAGTCCAGGAAACTTCCCCATTTTTTTTCCTCACTTACAAGCAGCCTCTTTGGAACTACAAGGAATGAGAGTTGACCTCCGCCCCTCCTAGCAGCTCTGCCAAGAAGGTGGGTTGGCTCCTGTGATGACACTTGGGACTGCTGGAAAGGCTTGAATGGGGACAATCTGGCTAAACGCCCCCCCCCCATTCCCTCTTCTTACACACAGGCTCACACCTCAGAGTGGACATTTCAAGTGTGCAAATCCCTTTACACAAAGCCAATCATTACACACATACAGGGAACCTCACCTGTGTCACCCCCAACCAACACCTCATAGAGCTAACTTGTACATATGACCTGCTCCTTCCGCCTGGGAACTCCCAGCTGGCCCGGAAGGCGTGACTCTTGAGCCAAGTCTAAGGACCCTGCCTTCCCCCTGAGGAGCTCAGTTGAGAAGTCCTGGTGGGCAAGCTTTTAGGGGCCAGACAGATGCTCAGAGCAGGGACGCCCGGATGAGCCAGCACGTCCCATTCTAGGCCAGAGGAAAGTTTGTCATCCCCCGGGGTGGCTTGTCGCATCTCTGGGTTGTCTCCCGGGCTCTGGGCGCTGAGCCCCGGTCTGCGGGAAAGCGGCCTGGACGGCAGCCCCACCTGGGGACAGGGATCCTAGCGCAGCAGCCCGGCGCCACGCTCCCTTCTGGCGCCTCCCAGCAGGTCCAGGCCCCCGGGTCCTTACCTGAGGAGTCCCAGCCACTTGCAAACTCTGCCTGCGGAGCTCAGCCTGCGCCTGGGGTCCCTGTCGGCGCCTCCCGCGTCCAGCTTGGCGAGCCCGTTTCGTGGGCGCCGTCCCAGCAGCCAGCTGCTGCAGTGCCATCAAGGGAAGCGGAGCCCGGATTTCCTTCCTCGCCACCCAGGGTCCTCCAGCCTGGCCCAAGGCTATTTCTCCCCGACTGCTGCAAGGGGCATCCTCCGCGCCGCCAGCGGGAAAGTGCGAGAGCGTGCGCCCTGGATTGCAGCAGCGGCGGGCGACAGCGGTGGCCGGGGACGAGGAGGCGGTGGCGACGCCAGCCGGCGAGCCGGGGAGGCGGGCAGAGGCAGAGGAAGTG